TGTCGATTATCCCGAAATTCACTGTACAAGAAACAAGCTTGATATTGTACTTGGAGCACTTCACATGACTTGTCACAGGCCAGTAGTTATCCTTATTGATTCCGGATCACCATAGCATGCAGTACCAGTGCTCCTTCCATAAACAGTCCCTGAAAACCTCCATTTTCGAGTCTTGAACATGTGTAAATGTGATCCGATTATCACCATCAATCATCTATTATCGAAATGTTGGTGCCATCAAAAGTTAAAAAGATTTTTTTTGGAAAATACGACATATCCCGAAAAACCAAGGCAAATCCCGGGATTTTGCCATGGCGACCCAGAAAAAGCACTCTCAGTACTTGGCAAGTATGACAATGCTGGAAGTGGTTTGCGAAGAAGACAAGGGCCAGGGCATCGCGGTCACTGGCGTCATAGTTACGCTCCGCGTTCGTCATTATTCAGCCGCCAAACGCAATGGCGCGTTCCACCTGGTCCTGTACCTGGCTCAGTACACCACCAATGGACACTTTAGAGGCATGTGTGTCCAGATAGAAGGGGCCGGCATCCCGGAATGCCATAACCGGAGCACTCGATAGCGCAGACTTCAGGGCGCGGAAGGAAGCATCACAAGCTTTCCTCCAGACAAACTGCGTATTCTTACCTGTGAGAGCCGTCAGTGGGGCTGACCGCTGCGCAAACGCATGGATGAATCTGCGGCGATAGCCCGAGACACCAAGGAACGACCTGACCGCAGGGACAGAATTCCGCATCTTCCACGCAAGAATCACTTGAAGTGAATCAGCTGGTTTCCGGCTGTCACGTTCGGATCAAACTTGAAACCGTGCTTTTTTCGGTGATACGTGATTTCTTTGGAGCAGGAAAAAACCTTCCGACACGACAAGATGTAACAAAGACCTACCACGCAATAAAACACACACGAATCAAGTGTCACCTGTCGGGCAGTGCTAGTTGTCTTGATATTTTCTCTTTTCTTTTCGCTTCGTTTTTGTCACTTATTGAATTTCCACGCTTTTTTTCGTGTCACTTCTACACATAATGCGAGTGATGTATCTCTGAACTTCCTTCCCTTACAGTTGTAGTCTTTTAGCTTATTTCCATCATTCCCAGTGTTATTTTGACAAGAAGGGAACAAAAACGTTCAATACTTTTGTTGTCCCTGCCCTTTTGGCACGTGTGTGCCCCTTTTGGCACGTTGGTGCGGACCGCGCGCGGACTGCGCCAGTTGGAGATTATCGTACATGTTCTTGTTGTTGTGCGCATGCTTATCGTGCGCATTCTGGTTGTTTTGGGTGCTTTCTTCCTGAGACTCTTAATCTCAGGGTCGTGAGTTCGAGCCCCACGTTGGGCGCCAATTGTCGTCGGGGGGTTTTATTCCCTCGCACGATAGCCCTTCCGATTACTCTCTTATTCGTACATCACACGTACGCCACACTCAGAGGACAGATTATCATTGTTGTTCCAAGGAGAGTCTCAGGAAGAAAGCACCCAAAACAACCAGAATGCGCACGATAAGCATGCGCACAACAACAAGAACATGTACGATAATCTCCAACCGGCGCAGTCCGCGCGCGGTCCGCACCAACGTGCCAAAAGGGGCACACACGTGCCAAAAGGGCAGGGACAACACCGTGTCGATGATCCGGTGATGCTACGTCGCCCAGAGCGGAGTCAGAAGCTCATGACGCCATATGAGAGTGGCTGGACGGTGCTGAAGATAGTCTCGCCATCGACCCTGGTGATCCAGCATGCTGACGGCAGAGAGAAGGTCGTGAACGTTGATATCGTCAAGCCTGGACACGCCCAGCAGGTAGATGGAACACTAGATGATGGTAACCATGATGCTGCCGAAGATCGCCCAGAGCCAGCTGCCTGTGATAATGTGGTGAGCATCGAGTTTGCGGCTGACATGCCGACTCAGCGCTACGATCTCCGAGGCCCTGGTAATCGACGACAGCCAGCTAGATACAGTGGATGATCAATGGCACCTAGGGGAGTGGTGTTATGGACTGCTATATTAGGGGCCTTATGACTCTTGTGTCACAATATATGTTGCTATGCATGCTGTGTACACGCTCACCCATGCGCGCGCCTCTGCTTTATGTGTACACCTCTCATGCTGTGCATGTGTCTAGCAACGTGCTTAGCTGCGCTGCATATACGTCATGTCGCCGGAATGCGTACCTTCCATTGTTTTTGTCGCCTTTCAGTTTTTCTTAGTTTTTGTCAGCTGTGTAGCTGCACTCCTTTCTCAGATTGCATGCCCGTCTTTCTGTACTTCAGTAGTTGAGTCGATCCTTTAGTTCAGTGTGTTTCAGTCTGGTACTTCTATGTCTCTTCCAATTCTCTTGTAAATAATTCATTCCCTAATCCAAAGTGTTGCGTTAGTGCTGGCTGGTCGAACGTGGGTTCCACTACACGCGCGTATTCTAATGACACTTGGGGAAGACAACCAGAGGATAGTCCTCTATCTGGGAAAATATCGATCTAAGCTGGGAAAAAATCGGGAAGGGCTTCTCGGAGCCGAGTTTGTCAGCGACGACACAAGGAGTATTCCAGAACGAAGCCAAAGTCGTACGACATAGAACAAATGTTTCTTGAAGGAAAGGCAGTCATGTGAGGTACGAGGGGAAGCTTGAAACAAGACGCAGATGATCAGCGTGTTCCCCGGGCTGTCCGGGCTGACTAGTCTCCAAAATCCAGGGGAAACCATGGGCTACTCGTGTTCTGACGATTTGAAAATTCAAATTTTCTTGCCATTGAAGCCCAATCGAGACTTTCGGCAGCCATATTGTTAAGTGGCGTGAAATCGCACAAAAAAAACAGCCGTGCGCTGTCGACAGCCCATTGCTGCTGTCGACTGCAGTCGACCAGCAAAAAATGCAGTTCCAGTGCCGCTGTCAACTTCCGTCGACAGGCCAACTTCGCCCAGTTTGGGCCACAACTTCTGCCCTTTTTCAGGGTGCAGTCAGACCTCGCTTATTTGGTCTTCTTTATTCCGGATCCCTCGCCATCCAGAAGAATATCGCTGGTGACCGATTTACAGCACATGTTATGCACACATACAGTATGTGTATTCGATTATCCGGTTCCCTCGCCTATCCGGATATTTTGTGGAAACGGATGTGTGCGGTTAGGCGAGGTCTGACTGTATTGGAGATGTTTAGCTGCCGTATAGGGTAACTGGGCCCTGGAAGAGGTCAATACCCATTGAAATACGATGCCAGGAGTATCGGTTGCCATTTGGAAAAAAAGAACGAACCAGCGTCGTTGAAAATGCGTTCCGATTTTTAGCAGAGCGGCGCGAGAAATCGGTTCCCACGCACTTCCACCTCGCTGAGTCAGTGTGATTATTTTTCTCTTTCCCGTCAACTTTCATTGCACGGAGCATAGAATTTGGTTCAGACCTGATGCCTAGCTATTACCCAAGACTCCAGGCGGCTATCCATTGCGATAGGCGGTTTGGGTCACGGGTAGAGACAACCAAACGACGGGTTCCTCACGAACACATTTTGCATGAGGCTACAAACTTGACGGAAACAGTGCTGGCGGCGCTCGTTAGGGTCCAGAACTACCTAAGAACTAAAATGTTGCAATGGCGACCAGCACGGTCAAGGGACACTACAGGTATGTCAGCTACAACACAATTATACAGTGGTCCCTCTATAATCCGGCACCATTTGTGCCACGGAAATCTGCTGGATTAGGGAGGGTGCTGGATTAGGGAGGGTGCTGGATTAGGGAGGGTGCTGGATTAGGGAGGGTGCTGGATTAACAAATCTGATTTTCTGCTAGAATGTGCATGAAGAGGACATTTTGGCTACTGAAATTGTGCTGGTTTATCGAGGGTGCTGGATTATAAAGTGCTGGATTAGAGAGGGACGACTGTAATATTATTCTTTCCACAATGACATCTACCTCAAAACCGAACGATCTACTGCGAGCTGATGCGAAAGTGCATTACATACGTGAACGCCTAGCTTGTCAACGGAACAGGGAAGCGCTAGCTTGTCAACGGAACAGGGAAGCGCTTCATTCTCCGAAGTTGAAAAGATGAGTTTGGACTGCTAATAATTAGGAGAACAAAGGACCACCATGTCGGCAGAACAATCCGTGGCTGTACAGCGACCCAATCTGCTTCACGAAACGACCTACGATCATTCCCCGAGTGTTCTGCAAGCAACAAGAATTGCGTCCGCAGTGACAGGACGAAAGTCTCTCGCAAACTGAAGTCCTGGTGCCACGAAGACAGGGAAGCTTCAGGAAGCACTTTCTTCTGCTTCAAGTGTTGTAGCTCTCCGGTCCACTGGCAGATCTTTCAATCCCACCGAACGGAAAACAGGACCTGCTTCTCTCTCCAAAACAACAACTAACTTTACTTCTTAACTGGCTACACAGGGTGTATGTAGTACATGCGGCGCACGGCGCACTTTCACATGACATGACTTGTTGCACAGCGGCTGACGCTAGAACACGCGGCACGCTTGTACTTCGGATTTTGCGATTTTTTCGAGGGCAATGGCTTCCTTTATGAGTTGTCTACCTGCGATGTATACTTTAGAAAACGATATTCAGTACAGAATGTACCAAAAATCCATGAAAGGTTGGCTTTTCGATTTTTGAACTGGAGGTAAAAAGTGCCCTGGCGCTGGGGGGTGCACAGCTCAGCTGACAACCTGGCATTGAGTGCATTGTCGCTTGAGCGGTCAGCTGGCAGTGAAAGGAATATCTCGTCCAGTATCTCTTCCAAGCAAACAAATATTCACATTTTACCAGATTGTGAGTTGCCTTTGGAGTGAGCAACTTGTCAGCGCCTTGTAGGTTTGGCCTGGTCCCATAGCTCAGATTGTTAGAGCATTGTTCATGACAAGCAAGGTCCCGAGTTCAAGTCCTCGCGTGGGGTTGGCAATGTCAATGGAGGATGCCACCTGAAGCCGAAGCCCATCTTCACGAGATTGAAGGTAACATAGGACTTTTTTACTTCTCCACTCCAGGTTGCATGTTGGAATGCAATTACACTAACGTGGTGGATTGTAATCATGTACCAGCAGTGGGAATGGCAATGGCAACTGTCAACTGTGTTTGTGGACAAAACTTCCAATGGACCATGGATGAATGTCAACGTAAGTGCCTTGCTGTATATAACGTAACCCGGATTCTTCCATTCTAAAATATGCTATAAAGCATGCTATGGTGTTCACAGAAAGCTGGTGACCACGGATGTCGATGTCAAAGTTTATTGTGCAGTGGCGCAAGCCAATTGCTTCATGGCATGGAAGGAATTAGATGATTCCTACAATGCTGTCAGTGAACACAGATTTACCACTGTGATTTGATACCAGTCATGTAGAGCCTATAGCCAGGAATCCATTCAAATGAACACTGTCCGTTTCAGCTGTCTTACTTTCACGTTATCTGAGTTGTGACAAGATCATCCAAAATCCGTATCAACATACAAATCACTCAGTTGACATTGGAGATCATCTTCTGTGTTGTCTGTCAGTAGGCACTGATCTGTTTTCTTTCATACTTTGGTTCTGTGCACAGCAACACATTGTCCGGATTTAAGCTCGGCAACATTGGTGACTATACCCAGGAGTGCTGTTGGTACCAACAGGAGTGTATCATGTAAGACTGGTTACGATAATATCTCCATGCCGTCTTCAGTGAATTGTCAAGTTAATGGAACATGGACTACACTCCCAACTTGCCAAGGTTAGGGAACATGATTACAACGTCCCTCCCTGGTGCCATTCCGTATTGTCAAAGTAAACAGCTAACATGTTTTGTAACCGTGTTTTGAAGAATGGTTGTCAATGGACTGGCCAATCAGCTTTTACTGGCCAAGCAGCTTTCTTTTGGATGCTTCAGTTTCCTCAGTTCTGTAGTCCATCGACCGCCAACATCTACCAGCAATGATTACCTTGTTGTTTTCTTTAGCAGAGGGCCTTTACTTGGGTATGCTACATTATGCTTAGCCTACATGGGCATAAGCAGACTCGGGAGCATTTTGTTGGAGATTTGTTTTCTTGATCAAGAATCGTTGATAAGAATACACTGGAGCTGTTTGCAGGTGGCTTCTGTGCCTTGGCTGAGGCTGAGGTATGGCAGTACCTCTTTGTTCAGGTGTGAGCAGCACTGTTGTCACAAGCAACAAGAACACCCGTAGAAGTTACAGTTACAGGTATCCTGCAAGCCTAACCATGCAGCGACGGTTCAGCATGCATTGTTGTAACTCAATTACTCTGACTGCTTCCTGCCCGATGCCATCTCCACACTCAAACAATTGACGGCATAACAACATAGGAAAAAGACTGCAATTACCAGGAGACCGCGGAAACCCAACTAGACATGGCAAACTCATGAAGAAGACTTATTTTCCACACAACCGCAGCATGCGCATGCACCAGCACCACGTACATGTGACGCACCCGAAATAATGTGCTAAAACAGCGCTGTCCTCCACCACGCTCTGAAGCGACTTCAGCATCATCGGAGGGGTCTGAAGCAAGTTACATTGCGCACTTCTGATTGACAATCCTCAGATTCCAGTGGAGCATGTGCATAGTGGTGCCGACTAATCAGAGCGTAGCACAACCATCAGCATGACAGCCATTAGTAATCCTTTTCGCCTTCTTGAGTTGCTCCACATTGAGCAGCATGGTCAGGGGCGTCACACACGGCACGGCCAGTATGACCATGGTTGTACCACTTTTCGTCCAGAATGGGCCGCCCAATTCATCCAGAAAAAGCAGTAAGAGAAAGCTATAACGTGCCCTGTTGGCCGGACAATCCAATTTTTCCCCGAGGGATCCCCCAACCCCTGGTCGTGCCACTCCCGACACCCCTGACGGCCGACATTGCTCCTGGTGCTTCTTGCCATGCAGGTTCCACCAATTGAGTTTGTGCCGTGACGATCTGCGGCAATGAGGACTCACTCTGGTTTTCTCGCACCCTCATCACTATTTACTACATCCTCAACCCGTCACCACCATGCGCTCTTTAGGCAAACCAATGGAGGAAGCATAACACACCAGCACAGCAAGGACACTTCCGTTGACAGATTCTTTTTACGCCTCTAGACAGTTGTTTCGCTCCTGTCGCAATATTTTACCCTCATCACTGTTGGAAATTTTTAGAGCGAAATCACTGAAGTTTCCGCCGAGCGCTTCTCCATGGGGACTGCTTGCTGTTCTCGACTCTCAGCGAAGCATTACTCAGCTGACCCAGGAATTTGGTAGTAACTCCGGTCACGTGACTGAAGCACTGCTCACTCTGCCAGCCGTATCTTTAACCATGGATCATTCTTCACATGAAACTATGACTCGTGCTCAATGACACTTGCGACCAGGCTCCCGAGCACCTAACACTCATATTATTCCCGTAGCTATGCAGAAGACGTTACTTCAGTAACGTCTGGCGCTAGCCAGGGTCCACACAGCTTTAATTTGGTGTTTGTTTGTTTGTGTGTTTGTGTCACGCCTGGCGCTATGCCGTATCTGTCCCGTACCGTACCATCAAACACAGCTGGCCACATACAGCTGGCCGCAATATTCAAATAGGGCTTTCAAACGCAAGATCATAACGTGAAGCAACTTGGAAGAATGAGTATGAATGCGAAGTGTATGGGGGAATGCATGTAGGGCGATAGTGCGAGTTCGAATCCCAGGTAATGCCTGAAAAAAATAGGAGAATTGAAAAATTTATAACATCCCTTTTCTTTTTTTGCGTCATCAAGGCGGTATTACCCTCGACCGTACATGTCCCGTACATGTCCCGTACCTCTCCCGTACCGTACCGTACAATCAAAGACGGCTGGCCACAATGCATATTCAAATAGGGCTTTCAAATACAAGATCATAACGTGAAGCAACTTGGAAGAATTAGTATGTATGCGAAGTGTATCGGGGGATGCATGCAGGGCGATAGTGCGGGTTCGAATCCCAGGTTATGTCTAAAAACAAAAAGTAGAAACTTATAAGAATAACATCCCTATGCTTTTTTGTCTAGGTCATCAAGGCAAAAAAGCATAGCGTAGGGCCCTGAGCTTCCAAGCTCTCTCGTTCAGAATCTACTCGCCAACTCGCTCTTTTGTCGAGAACAAGAATATTGAGTCAAACCAAAGTTGTCATCTTTTCGATATCCGTGCTGCACACATACTACAAAAAAGAAGTGATGTCAACTTGAAGTTTTGCTTCATCATAGCTTGAGAATTGATTTCAAGGTTCTTAGGTCGTTATTTGCTTTGGATGGCTCACGTAGTTGCGATTTACATTGTCGGTTTTGAGTAGTTTGTTTCCATCTGTGTTTTTTCTGTCTATAACGCGTGCGCTTGTGTGCTGGTATGTGCGTGCTTTTCTCTGTGTGCATGCATTTTTTGCTCTATTCTATTTTGCAGAATCTACGGATCCAACTCCTTCCACGGGTACGTTCTAATCTGTCGTTTGCCTTACTCTGCACTTGCACTGGATGCACCAATCACTGCACCGAGTTTGAGAACACGTTATGACCATGCTATGTATTGTACTGTTCCCACTGTATTTGATCATTGTTATCAGATCTCTAGGTTCTCTTGAAGGGAAAACTTGAAGCACAACACTACATGTACTAAAAACGCATCGATTTGCTTGTAGCATGCCCATGCACCACTCACCCAAAGCCAGTTGTGTAGCACACACAGGAACGTAGGAGACTACCAGAAGCAGCACAGTTGTCACCACAACTACTGGCTCAGAAGTGACTATTATCAGTAACAACACCTTTCTGCAGCATGCACTAGGCAAAATTATTTCAGCCTTTTTT